TATTGACATAGTTAACATATTTTATCGCATACATGCTAGGTACATAATCTCTCAGACATGTGATCATGGCCTGCCACAACGTGCGACTTGCCACAACTCAAAACATGTGACACATCATACACTTACATAAACAATGATTAACTAACCTTATATTCTCCTTATTTTTTCAAACTAAAATTGTGGGTTATAACACTGAATAGGACTTTATCCGTGTGACTGGATTACCCAAACTCACCAATTGTGAGGTGTGACTCAGCTAAAGATTACATGACTCACTTTCAGACTACGGTTTTCCCCACTCTCAAATCTTTAGGGTGTCTCATACCTTAGACTATTATCTTTATTGAACTAGTGGAGAAAGGTAGGTTTTAGTTCCTTAATAAATTATGGGACAATCCTTTGACAAACTGTGGAACAAGACTATACGCCATGCACCAGAGGGCAGCATAAAGTACCATATTAATTTTTCTTTACTCCTAATCCCTAAACAAACTCCCGCCCACTAATCATGCTATATACGATGCTCATTCATTTTCACATCTTCATTTATGCAATATTAAGGTTAACACATTGGGCTCACATCTGAGCACTACTAAGTGAGCATCAATCCTCATTTTTACTTATAAACACATTACTTTTAAACCTCTTGTACTGCTCTTTTTCATGTTCATCACCAACTAGTCATTCAAAACACAACATGAAGTGATTTTCATTTTGAACATTACATATGCCATTCTAAAACTCATTTTGCAATTACTTTCGTATGTTTAATACACATTACACAATTCACATGGACATCAAGTTTCAATGTATGTAATCCAATCTCACAAATCATAATTTGCATTATAAACACACAATTCACATCATAATTAATATATAATTACCTAAAATAAAATTTCCCCGGTTATTTCAAATTTTTGAGAGGTCAAAGTTTATCCCTCAATATAATAACTTTCAAGTTTGAATTCCTAAGCTAAATAGGTGTCTAAAAACTCAATCTACAATTTACTAAATTAATCTTTATTAATATTGCCAAACTCAAGCATTCAACTCTTATTTCTCCACTTGTAAATTGCCCAATGCCCACTTTGTATAAGATTGAGCCTATCTCTTGGATTTATTAACTATCTTTAGTCCCCAATAACACTAGTAAATAATTAAACTCTTATTAATGGCATCATACTCTTTCAATAACCCACATTAATGCAATTTTCGCATATTTATGAAGCCCAACAACCTAAAACTCTAAAATTCATTATACCTAGGTTTAGATACTCTAATCTACTCATATTAACTTTATTTAAGTCAATAAATTCAAACCCATAACCTATATGAACTGAAAACCATCTTCCACCATCAAACCCTAAACATAAACTTCATAATGTGAAAGAAAATGGAAGATTAAGCGGCATGATGCTTATCTTGGGTGTTTGTAGTTTCTAAAATACTTCTCATGTCATCCAAGAACAAACCCTAGTAGAGCTTGGCATGCCTCTTCATTGTCTTCTTTCTTTTTAAATTTTGTCTTAGTCTTGTGATTGATAAATTGCAGAAAATGACCATACGCCATGGTGGACGCACAATCCGTTACAGTGCATGGCACAGAGAGGTCCCTATTCTCGTATATGAAGTGTTTGTGCACCATGGCAGATGCACTCCACATTGCGGCATGTGGCATAGCAACACTAACTCTTCATTTTTTCTCCTTTCGATACCCAGGTGGCTCAACTTGATACCGAACCCACAATTAAGGCTGAAACACAATTGAATATGATTATTAGACCTCTTTAGCCACACACCACTATAATTTACTCAATTATCTGAATTAAGCTTAATGAATTAAGAGATTAAAAATTAAGATGTTACAAGTGGGCCCTACATTCAATTTTTAAATATTTTTTATTATAAAATATTTGAATTTAGGGCACTCACTACCTTTTTGGAGCAAAGTTAAGGGGGGAAATAACTATTAATCCAATACTTTATAATAAAAGTACTAAAAAAATTAAATGTGTGGCCCACTAATGATGAACAAATGGTGAATTAATGACAAGGTGATTAGAAAGAGAATCTTTAAATTTGAAGAACATAACTAATTCACAGTTGAATTTATGATGCCCAAGGACCTATTAAGTAAAGTTGATAGGCAAAAATGATCCTTCATCCTTTTTTCTTTAAGGTAGGAGAGTAATCATATACATTTTTAAAATAAAGGCAAGCATAGAAAAGACACAAGTATAGTACTATTTAACCCATTTCAAATTATAAGATACTTTTAGATAAAATTATATATATCAATAAAGTCTATTAAATACACATTACAATTTTATTTTTGTTAAAACAAAAGTATAAACTTCTAAAAATGCTTTTCATTTAATACTCTATTTATGAAAGAATATTAAAAATAAAGAATATAATGAGAAGGATAATGTTAAAAAAGCATCATCAATGAAACTTTATTTTTGTTAAAGTATCTTTTATTTTGAAATACTGAATCTTTTGCAAAAATGTATTATAATTTTAGACGGAAAAAGTACAAAAAACTCAATTCTGAGAAAGTTGATGATAAAATTTTTTGCTTTAATCTAAGTTATTTATGAAACTCCAATGATTAAAAGTTTAAATTTTTTCAAAAAATGAAATTTAAAATGAAAGATAATATATTTTTATGAATTACAAATTAAAGTAAAAAAATTTTAAAAGAAAATATATATAACAGTAATGGTGAAATTTCAAGCAAATTACCCCCACCATTTATGTATAGAATATTGACTATTATGTAGATCAAATTAGCTTTAGCATGGCTCGCCTCTGTGAATGTATTATTGGCTGTGGCAAACGATCTATAATTTTGTTAATGACATTTCCCCCCTTAATTTCAATGTTTTTCAAACTGTTAAGTATTTCAAGTTTTCGTATATTCTATAACTCTACTTTTGTCTTATTTTAAATAATGTTTATTTATTTAATAGTTAAAACTTAGGATTCCATTTGAAAAAAAGTTTAAGTATCATAGAATTTTACAGATGATAAATGTGAAAGCTGACGATTTTATCAACAAATTTAAGATTCAAATTAACCTATTAATTAAAATCCTCTTATATTTAAACTTCTTTTCTAATGAGATCCTAATTTTTCACCATTAAATAAAAAAAGATATTATTCAAAATAAGATTAAGTCAAAGTTATAGAGTATACTGAATCATGAGATACCAATCATTTAGAAAACATTATAAAAAAAGGGCAAAAAACGTCATTTTACAAAATTATGAGTTATTTACTATGACCAACGATGCATTCATTGTAGCAAACCACGCTGAAGTTAATTTGATCTATATAATAGTCAACATTCTATATATAAACGATGAGAGTAATATGTTCAAAATTTTAAAGTTTAGGATTTAAGAAGCTACTTGCATAATAAATTAAGGTTTGTGGTACTAATTAACAAAAGACACATTAGCAAGAAACTGCCAAGTCAACATTAGCATTTTACTAGGGCCCACAATGAATAGTAATGTTGTTAATAAAAGATAACAGTAAAATTTAATTTATTATGAATTTAAAAGTTTAAAATTTATTTTACACATTTTAAGAGTTTAGGGTTCATGAGGTTTTTTGAGCAATATTTTAAAGTTCATGTTGCTCATTAATCCATTAATTTATTTGATATGTATTTTTTTTAAGTCAAAAACTAATTCTGACATTATCTAAAATGTGATTTGGTAGGTTGAAATGATATTTTTTGATGATGATAAAATCTTAACAACCTCTTCTTGAAAGTTCAAAGGGGTACTCTCTTTTCAGTTGGCATCTTCTAAGCAAACCCGCCCCCTTTTTTTTAGCTTTTTCTTTTTTTTTGGTCCATGGCCTTTTTGCTAGACGAAAGTAATCAACCTAACAGCATTCTTTTCCATACTTTAAGACAAAACTTTTATGGAATAAATTGTTGCTATTTTTTATTTTTATTTCTTGCTACACACACAATATATAATACTGATCGGATTAATAGAATACATTATATTGTTAGTTAGGCTCGCTAATGCCCTGGTCCCCCTACAGCTGTCGCATGTACATCCTATGCTCATATATTTTCATTATAATCTCAATTCTCAACGAATATATTACATATTAATAAATTGTCAAACTTTTCTCAACAACTTAAATAATTAATTTTTTAATAAAAATAACATAATTAGATAGCAAGTTACACTTCCTAAACATGTAACTTGACATGACAAATAATTGATCTGTTACATATCATTTAAATCTAAGAAATTAAACATTGGCCATAATTTAGACGATTATGAAAATCAATTCACGGGGTTAATTATTTAAGTGCAAGAGGAACGTTCTAAAAGAAATTGACCTTTGAGTCGAATATATATAAATTGATTAAATTCATAAACTCAAGTAATCTCCCAAGTAAGTGTTTTCTTAAGCTTAGAAAGTCCCTAACCTGGGAAAAAAAAAACTTAGGCTTCATTTAATTACTAAGAAAAGGGAAATAAAATAGATTAAAAAAAATAAATCATAAGAAACATGATAAAATTTAATATATATATATATATATATATCACAAATGTAAAAATCATCATCAACTCTAAAAATTTCATAATCATGACTCCCTATCCAATGAGCTAAATTTCACTTCTCTGTTGTAAATATAGTTCGCTTATCCCTCTCTACATTTTGATCTCAATTATTTTCATTTCCTTTCTTTCTAGCAACCAAATATCTTTCTTTCGTACTCTTTCTAGTAGTATTATACCTTATTAATCAAAGAGAAATAATGTGTCACCTTATTATTCATACAAGTGCTTTTCTCAAGTTATAGGGTAAAACTGAAAGATTAGCATATCTTTTTGTTTGATAACCATAATTTTTGCAAAACACCTTATAAATATGATCAGTATTAAACCGAGTTTTACAGGCATAAGTGATTACTACTCTGCAATTAATTAGTTTACACAGAGAGAAAGCGTCGGCAAGAAAAATGATTGATCAATATTCATTGAAATGATGTGCTTAATATTCCAATTGTATGGATCCAAGTAATAAATTTAGTGCGAGAAACAGTTGTGTATTTGAAGGCAAAACACACATTTTTGGGGGGACAGCAAAAGTTCAAAATTTCTCAAAAATCTCAGACATATCGACGACGTCTCATTTGACGAAGATTATTGTCGGAATTTGCATAAGTTGGGGGGCATCAATAGGGATGGTCGGCATATTAATTAATTGCTGTTGACAAGTATTATCTCTTTCTTGATTAACATCAGCTCCATTCAAGTACTGTTCTTGGGCTTTATGCTGGTGACCTTCCTCGCAAAGGATGGTAAGCAAAAGGCAGCAGCATGAAGCTGGAAACAAAAAAAGGAGAACAAATTAAAGGAAACAAGACAGATCTTCACCGAAGAAGGGTTGGTTGACTTGTGGTCAGCGAGTACCTCAGAGTTGTAGAACTTCAAGGGTTGCTTCGATATGCCATAGTTGTGTGGATCTATGGGATTTACGGGACATCTGAAGTCCACGTATGGGCCTTCTGTGGAACAAAGCAGGAACCCAATGACCCCACTGAAAATAATTAATTAACTGTTCGGTTAGGCTTCTCTAAACCGCAGACATTGAATGATTGAAAACACTAATTGCCAAGGTAAGGAGATATATACACATATAAACATAAACACACACAGAGGTTACAGTAATTATAGGGACAAAAGGACTATTCCTTTCAGGCAGGAAAAAGGAACAGAAGGGGTGAGCATTATTCATGCAGATCACCATTTGTTAATTGAGTTTAATTAGCTAGGGTTAGGGGAAGGAATTATTAGTATGATTAGAGATGAAAATTAAATGAATGATTTGGCGAGGTGATTGAGAATATTAAAGAGAGACGAGCTAATGAAGGACGTGATGATATATTAAAAGAAATTGCCTTGGATAAGCAGGAACAGTGGTCCAAGCATAATCGATGGAGCCTTTGAAGATTTGGCGGCATCTGGAGAAAAGCTCGGCGATGTCCAGAGAGCCACACCATAAGCTCTCTGCTTGGATGCACACAACTCCTCCTCCACGTAAAGCTCTTGATGCCACTTCAAAAAACTCTGATTCGAATAGCTCATGATCAGCCCCTGCACCACCAAAGATATATATATATATATATATTTATCAGGGAAAAACTGGAAGGGAATTGAAGAATGAGGTAGGTATGTAGCTGTATACTTAATGGGTCGAAGGCATCTACTATTATTGCATCGTAGGTGCCTCTTTCTACAGATTTCAGAAACAAAGTTCCTGCACAAATACAGTTTTAGACCAAGATTAAGTTCATCACATATATTTACAAGCAGCGGTAATTAACAAACTAATTAACATGTACGTACCATCTGTAACATGCAGCCTCACTCGAGAGTCCCTGTATCCGACAGCCACATTTGGGAAATATTCTTTATACACCTTCAGGGTCATATTCATATACCATGAAGCTAATAATTTAGAATGCTATCTAGTTGTTCATGTATATATGTATATATTAGTTAATGTTAACGCAGATCAGATGCTGAAGAATACAAGCAAGCACGAGGATGTATATTTGGCTTACATCAATGAGCATAGTGTCTATTTCACAGATGTCGATTTGCTCGACAGAGGAGTGGCGGGAAATTTCTCTGAGGATGCCACCATCTCCACCTCCGATGAGCAGCACCTGAAACATGCATGAGTCAAATTAAACAGAGAATTGGTCTATCTTCCACAAACTTAAATGCATTATTGTGTTCTGAAATTAATGATTTATTCTGATCATTTCTAGTATAGATGTTTATCGCTGATCAGTGCCTGGGATATGGTGGAACCTTTTTTGGGTTTGGGATGGAGCAAAGAGGAAGATGAGTCATCATCTCTTGGTATGAATATTCGTCTTTCTCAGTGAGTTGCAGAGCTCCGTCCAACACAAAAACTTTACCATAGGTTGCTGACTGCAATTCAAAAAGGCAAAAAGAAAAAAAAATCTAAAATGCACAGATTTCATATATTTAAATACTAAAAGAAAGTTTGACTGCCGACGTTGCTGACTGCATCTTTTTGTTTCAAAAGCTACACTTTACGCTTCAGTTTTCCTTGACACGTTGATAAATGCTAAAAGAAAGTTGGTGTAATTTAGTCTCGATGCTATAACGATAGTCGGTGTTATTTATTCTTTATATTAGTGATCGAACTAATTAAAATGTATAGAATATATATGCATATGATATGTTCGGTGAGGAATGTTAGAATCACCTGAAATACAAGCATAGATTGGTACTGAGACGTGCCTTGGAACAAAATGTTTTCAACCTTCAAAAAGTGAGCTTGCCCTGCAATGAATACATTTCAATCAACTTGGATATAGCTTTATGGAAACTTTCACCTTAAAAGTATGATCTTCTTCAATCATCCAGATTCTTCTGCAAGAAACTTTTTTTCCTGATTTTATTTTTAAATATTCCTTCTTTTCTATGGGATAAGCCAGACACAAACAAGATAGGAAATATAAATAAAGCATACCCAGGTGATGAACTTTTGAATAATAAGAACTAAAGTGCCATTCTTTAACGTGTCGCACGTTAAAGAAAAGGACAGAGAAATAGACATGAATACATGCGGTTGAGCAGATAATCAAGAAAAGGGGAAAAGAAGATAGTAAATAAATGATTAAAATTATTAACACAAAACATATCAACGTAAAGTTAAAGAAGACGTTATGAAGAACGATTTTTTATGAATTAATTTGATTATTGATTTAAAAGTGATTATTTTTTATTCTCACGATTGACGAAACACCAATTATTAATAATAAATGAACTATCTATGGGGTAAAAAATCCCTTACTTAATGTACAAGTCCTTTTGGGTCTTAAACTCTTTAAAGCTAAACTCGTTTAAATTTTACACACAAAGATATTACTTTACAAAAGATATTATTATTATTTTATTCTCAAGCAACAGGTGCATTTTTTAAGAATTTGGATTCTGTGAACCTATTTGACATATGATATGAAATTTGTTATCTAATAAAATATGACATCTCTTAGTGAAACAACATATGTGATGAGTATTTTAATGATAAAAATTATTATAAATTTGATGATTATGATTGAGACTCTCACGAGGCTATTTGCTAAATTCAAATCCATTTTTAAATGAAAAATTACACACAAGGATCTAATAAGAAATTTAATTATAAATAAGAATCAATACAAAATGAATTATTATTAAAATGAAAAAATAAACTTAATTTTTCATATAAAACTTGTTATTAGTCATTATTTATGAATAAATTTTTTATAAAATCCTGGATGTGATTTTCTCCTCTTTTTTAAATGTTCTCATTTCATTTACAAGTACCGACAAAGGAGTAATTATTTATTTGCTAAAAAATGCTCTTATTTATCCTACATCGCACTTATGTAGTAGTCGCGCATCACCAACAATTGCATCAACTTGAAAGCTCATTAGAAATGGAAGGGAAGAGAGAGAGAAACAAAATACAAAGTTCAACATAAATTATTTAATATACGCAATCTGACCTGGCCAAATGGAAGAAAACTCAGAAAACCATCCGGGACAGTTGAGGGAGAGGTGATTAGCAGAGGCTTCATCATCTTGTTGCGCAGCTGCGATCCTCATAGCAGAGGAACCATTTTTATTGCCATTACTAGTCGTTACATTATGAGCACGAACCTTAAAACTCACACTATCCATGGCGCTGTAGCTATTATTATATTGTTGGTGCTGGCGCTGTATTTGGATCTCCCAAGGTTCAGCTCTTAAATAGCCTCGAATATACCGTGACGCGACAGGAGTGTTTGTTATCCAAAAAGTAAAATCCGCGCTGATTATGTTCACATATTCACAGTAATTAAGGCAAGGGATCTTGGATGGAAAAGGCCTTTGCCATTCAACGTATCAAAGAAGAACAACACTTGTCATCATTGGGTTTGCAACTTTTCATCTGGATGTTGCCTCTCGCGACATTTCGAGGAAGACATGGTTTTGCTTGGCGGTTGCAAGTCTTCATTATACCGCGTTTCTCCATCATCATCTTTTTCCTTCTCTCTCACTCTTTTTGGTTGCCCACCTGATTCACCAGAACTTCACCCCGACTACATTCAAATTTGACCCGAATTGTGCACTTAGCTTTGGTGGGTGATTCTAGAAAATTTTTTTTGCATACATAAAGCTCGAATTCAAGACTTTATTTAAGTGAAACTGAGTTGTCTACCTCTTGAACCAACTCCCGTTGGTTTTTCCTTCTCTCTTTTACTTGTCCCCCAGCATGCACGTGGTCTTGCAGGCCCTCTGCAAGTTATTGGGCCCTCGCATAAGCGGAGTTACACCTGCCGGGTATACATGGGCCGAAGTTAACCTGGGCAGATATGAACATTTCCAAGTGCTGCACTGTCATCAAAATGTTATTAATAGGAGGCATTGCTTTAGTGACGGAGATGTTCTCTTTATAATAAAAAAGAATGTTATTAATCTGAGACAAGATAGGAAGGAGACTAAAGTTTGCCATTGGAGCATGATGTAATTTTTTAATATTAGCTGAGCTTTTCTGATGATGATTGTGTAATTTTGACGTTTTATGGAAAGGATCGGAAATGCAGAACATGTTGTGATGAATATCACCAGGAGAAAAGCAGGGGAAGACAAGACAGAGATTAAGAAAGGATAAGATTGTAAGGTGAAGGTGTCAGCTGCAGATTTGAGGAACTGCTACGTGTTGGGGTCGGATAGGAGGAGAGGCGAATCTTTGATGAAGATTGCAGATGACTGAGAAACAATAAAAATTTAAAAAATAAAGCAAGCATGCTTCCCTTTTATTTATTATTTGTGTTGTTTATATTCTATTTAATGATATATGTCGTCAAATACCTTTCATGCCTGCATTGCTAACGATATATATCATAGCTCCAAGTTTTTCATTCATGGTCAAGATTTCTGAAGACCTTCGTCTGTTCGCTAGCTGTCTCATCCTATATGTATTATGTGTAGACATTAGGGAAAATTTCACTACAACCCCTCGACTAATTTATTGACAGCAGTAAACCTCTGTTAAATTCCAAAGCATCAATTCAGTTTCTGCAAGTACCACTTGAATTATATTAAAATTAAATATTTGAAGAAAATTACACAAATAATTCTAACCTCCTATATTAATTATTTATTTTTTATATAAAATTAGTTTATTTTCCTTATATAAATTATTTATACATATAAATTTACTTGTTTATATTCAAAATGATATTATATTATTAATGAAAAGTATAAATTTTATGTCAGTAATTTATTTTTTATATTTTATTTTTTTATATGAGTTATTTATGTGTCTATCTTCATTTATTTATATTTATAGTAGTATTATATTGTTAACAAAAATTACAAATTTTTCCTTTTGGGGCTATTCATTTTCCTTGTATCAATTGTTTTTACTTGAAGGGATTGGGAATTTGGGGTTATTTGTGTTATTTTTTTCAAAAATTTAATTTTAATTTAGCCTAAATGAGAGTATTTCAGAATTTTAGAGGGGTTGACTACTAATAAATTTGATCAAAGGGGCTGCGATGAAATTCCCTAGACCGTATGCGTGTACAAGTTATATGTATCGTATATGTCACGCCTAATTAATTGTACCAATTGTTATCAATCCTATCCTAGTTGAAAATAATTGCACTTAACGAACAAGATTTATATTTTTCCCTGGCACGCCAAGTTTGAGCATAAAATATACCTTTTCAAAGTCAGGCCGCCTCTCATTAATAATTAAAAGAGCAAGACGGTTCATAATTAACAAACAATATTTTATTTACATAAATCATAAAACAAATTATAACAAGTTTGGCTCCTAGCTTCTAAAACAAATTCGCTTTTTTTTTTTCGGTTTTTTCTTATTAACTTTTATGTGACAATTTTCTATTTTACATATTTTTATTTTTTTTACAATTTGTCAATGAAAAATATATGAAGACTTGAAAGTTCAAGGATTTTTTTTACTGTAGATCTTAAAAGATTGAATGAATTGTAAATATTAGTTCAAACAATTACTAATGGGAATATTAATTACAATTTGAGTGTTATATTTAAAATTTAAATGCTTGATCTCTGAGATTGGAACTCTTAAGTTTGTAATTGTTTAAAATGATATTTCCAACTTATTTTTTAGAAAATTTTATTGAAAACCAAATTGAAATTAATCCAAATTTTTACAACCTAAATGTTACAATAACAACAATAAATCTTATTCTACTTAGTGAGGTTGGCTACATGAATTACATAGCATTATTTTGCTCCATCATCAACCAAACTTTTAAAAGTATTGTTAACCAAGAAATCTCATTCAACAACTTTTACAAGTGTTCTCTTTAGTCTTTCTCTATATCTCTTTATCAGGCTCAAGATTATCTATTTCACTCTTTTCACTAGTACCTCCCATAGCCTCTTCTATACATGTCTAAATAATCTCAAATGATTTTTCTATTATTTTTCCCTCAATAAATATCACACACACTTTTTTTCATATATGCTCATTTTAATTTTTTTAATGTATGCCCATACATCTATCTCAACATTTTTATTTATGTTATTATAACTTTATGCACATGATATCCCTTTAAAGTCTAACATTTGGCATCATATAACATAGCTAGTTTTATAAATCGATAAAACTTCTCTTTAATTTTATTAGGTTTTTTTTATCACAAATAACTCATTTAACATTTTTTCAATTAAAATGCCCAACTTGTATCATATGTGTAAAATCCCCTATCATGTTGAATAATAGCTCCCAAATATCTAAACTTTTTCAATTAAGGTATAATATGATATTTTAATCTTACTTTCAAACTACTACTAACTGACTTTTTATTAAAATTACAATGCAAATATTCTGTTTTAATATTACTTAAATGAAAATTCTTCAACTCCAAGGTCTTTCTCCATATCTCAAGTTTGCAATTAACTTCTTCTCCTAAATCTACAATAAGAACTATACCTTTTGCAAAAGCATATATTTGGAGATTTTCTCCTAAATATATTCAGTCAAAACATCTAAAACTAAGTTAAACAAATAAGGATTCAAAGATGATCCCTCATGTAGTCCAATTCATATAGGAAAGTTCTTTATTTCACCACCAGACATTTTTATATTTGTTGTTTCCCTCTCATATATATCTTGCATAGTCAATTTGGATTTCTTTCTTTTTTAAGGCTTTTCAAAGTACTTTTCATGGTGCACGGTCATAAACTTTTTTTAAATCAATAAAAATCATATATAAATCTTTATCTTTGCTTCAATACTTTTCCGTTAATCACTTAGTGAATAAATCACTTTTGTATTCTCTTAAAATTTAAAGCATAATGAAATTTATCTAAATACACTTATCGTTGAGTTGTTGAAAGGATTAGAGAGCTATGTAGGTGAAGAAACATGAAGAAGTTGAGCACCATCACAAAAGCTGATGAATTGATCACATCGTGACTAGATTGTCGCCTACCTTGCAACAATCAATATTAAACTAACCCTAATGTAGTACTAGGGTCAACTTGGATTATCTCCCTAGGAAGTGGCCCAATCAAATAGAGGTTATCTAAGGCTACAAGTTATCCCAAAATGTGAGAGTTTTGCTAAGCCAAACTATCTAAAATACTAATGTAAACTATGCTAATGAAAGTATGTAAAGTACCTTTATATCAATTAGGTAGATATCTAGGAATATACTGTTAGAGACTTCCTTATCCATCTGAAGTCTTTAGCTAAGAACCCATCCCTTACTAGATCATGATCTTACTAGATTCAATTAAATTTAGTTAGATTAACTAGTTAACCTAACTTACTTCCCTAAATTAAGGTGAACTAAGCCATGACCAATTAACTTAAGTAGAATCCTAATGTGTTTTCTCTACCCAAAGCCATGACTAATGCATGTAAATGAATAAGAATATCAAAAAATTGTGTAATACCCTAATTTAGGTCTATGAATCACCCATAAGATTATGTAAAGATAAATCTAAGACAAATCGTATTACATTAACTCAAAATTATGAATTAAATAGACATGGCCAAAATTCATGGCATTAAACAAAGCACAAGAATAGCTAGAGTCAACAAGCATTCTCTCATTACAAATGACAATGAACTCAAATTAGAGTCAATAGCCAATCAAGTTGCAATCCAAATCTAAAATTACAACATGAAATAAAATGAGAGGAATTTAGGTTTAGAAAGCTCTTTAGCCAAGTGTAGACTATAGGGATTCCATTTTTGTCATCTTCCTTCTAGGAATCTTCCATGATCTCCAACCTTCCATCACCATAGTTGAAATCTCCAAGTTCTATCTTAGTTGGCCAAAACCCTTGATTTCTTCCATGGTAGATTTGAGCCTTCAATCCTTGAGTGAGTGAGAGGGATATGACATAAATGAAGAGAGGAGGAGAATGAGATAGGTTTTTGTGTGATTTAGTGGAGAATTGAAAGAGATATGAGTGGTTGAATGGGTGAGAAAGTGTATGAACAAGTGAGAAAGTAAGAGAAAATATTTAAAAATGGAAATTTAGAGAGAATTTGAATGGAAATGCTCTTGCATAAAATTGGTTTGATGGAAAATGAGAGAAAGTGTAAGAAACTAATCAAGTGATTGTGGTCTTCAATAACAAACCCATGTGGCTGAAACTAATAATTCATTTTAGAGGGAAATGATGATAATTCCTATGTGATCTTTCAATCCATTGCAATGCATCACTTCCTAATTTATCT